GAACAGTTGTTGAAAGTATATTGTCAACTGCTGATGGCACTTTCTCAAACCTCCCTGCCAATGCATCAGTCAAAAGAATAGATTCCTCTTGTTTATCCGTAGTTTTCCATATTTTCAATTCAGCAGGGAAGTATCCTGTATTGCTCCATTTACGCAACTGAACCATAGAAAATGGTCCCTGTATTTTACCAGAAGGATCCTTGTAATGCCACATTTTTTCAGCTTCATTGATCTTGATGGAAGTTTCTGCAACCTTACTCTGGAGTATAGCTGGAGAACCTACCGATGACACACCAGAAAATGATTCCGTTCTTGACAAAAATTGGCTATTCCGTCCAGTTGGGTCGGAATTAGCAGCAGACGTCAGCTTCTCCAGATTCTTAGATTCTGTCTCCCTATCTCTTCCTTCATTCCATGTATCTTCATTCAGTCCCCCTCCAGAGTGCGCACCATCTTCACTTCTGCTCAAAACGTTTTTACCAGAGGAACTCCTGTTTAATTCCAAGTTCTTTGAAGAAACTTTTCCTACAGCCCCCCAGGATTCTTTTGGAGAAAAGTTGCTTCTTGGAGAAACTGGCGCACGTCCTCTCCGGCTAAAACTTGAATCTCTAGACCTCATGTAAACATCTGCATGCAGAAGCAGCAACTTCCAAATTATACACAGCAAGTTGTATTAACTATAACAGATGAAGAAGAAAAGGGAACTAATAGAACCTCGTCTATCATTACTTTCACTATCCTCATCCTCAGACTCGTAGCTTGGGTCCATTTTTGGATCTGCATGTATTTCTGGAACTTCCTCAAGTCTACGCTGACGCTCATCGGGAGTCTTTAAGAGCTGTAGTTTCTCTACACATTCTCTAAGTGTAATCATTAGTTAAGGAGTATATAAGAGTGACTGATTCAGCCCAAGCGACAAGAAGCAAAGACTAATAGAAGGGGGATGGGATAATTGCTTCTAAAGGTGTCATCTTCTGTTGTGTAGGTGGATCTCTCCATATTAGATCTGGACAAAACAATGTTCAAGGTCCAAAATTCAAACAATGCCAAAGTGAGGATAAGTTTATTAAACAACATAAAATAACAATTAAAAGGAAACGTTTTTAAAAAAAAGGAAACACATGAATTACTGCAAGAGCACAGAACACTCATAATCTAGGGATTGAATCCTAATGCAAACCCAGCCATGACCTGAAGTACATATGCTTAAAAAAAAAGCAATAATAATTTTCATAAGCAAACTTTATTCCATCCTATGATATCAAGGAAATTTTGTTATCAGGCCCTAGCAGGATAGCACTACACACAATATTTGGCCTAACGGTCCTGCTCCAGAGAAAAAAATGAAAACCAAAGAAGAATTTATCTGTCAAGCAAATATTGCATTGCAGTTTGATATTGGCAGGAGGGAAAGGGAAACGAATAGAAATGACAAAATTTTGGCAAACAAAGGATATTCCTTCTTGCGTCCTTTCTCACTTGCTCGATCACGAAGATGACTGAGACGGAGTATCTCTGACTCCAGCCACTGAACATGAGCAAAAAGAACCAGGCAAGATATATTAGAACAACTTGGGAACCCATTAGAGGACGGTTAAAAGCAGAAAGAATCCATCAGAAGTGCAAAACCAAAGAACAAAATCAGAACAGAGCATAACCTGACACAATTCTTTTCACACCAAGTGGAATAGAACTTTTTATGCTAAAGACCCTCAAAAAATAATCAACTTTTAAAAAGTCAATAAAAAGATTTTGACACCTAACCATTATCGTTTGTTAAACAGGTTGAAACTGGGTAACTGAACTCCATAAGGTTTATGGTAGCCAACAAATGAGTGTATCTCTGAATTCTTATAGAGGTCAATAACCATGGCTGGTATATGTGTTGACGAGACTTCTCCAATCCTCAGAATGCTAAAGGGTAAGTACAAAGATCTAAAACCTACAAATTTCCCACTTCCACTTACAATATCGCATTCAATATGCCTTTCTATTTTCTATCCTAAATGTCCTAGCACAATAGTAGCATCTCCAACGCTTAATCTGCAAAGTGCTAACTGCCAAAACTTCTTTTCTTTGATAAGGTAAAGATTTTATTGATAGATAAGGGCAAAAATCCCAGTATACAAGAGGTATACAAGAAATAAAGAATACTACGCTAGTACCGATTCGTGTAGATAAAAATGCATCTAAAGAACCAGGCACTGCAGGTCAAATAAACAGTCATGACTGAATAGCTAGTCCAAAAAGGGACACATAGCTTATACATAGAATTTCCACAAGTTAACTCATGAAGATTGCACGTGTATCCAGGGACAGAGGAGACAGCCACATAGAAGGAAACGGAAACCCACTTCATTCCAAGTTTTAAGAAAGCAATAGAAGCAATAATCTGCCAAAAAGGAACTTCACTCCAACTGCAGATTTACTTTCTTTCAACCTTATTAATCACTGGCAGATCTGTAAATGACAATCCTATGCATATTGATAGAACTATTCAAATGAAACTATTCTGTTTAACTTACATCATTAACTCTTGCTGCATGTATTTCCATGGCCTTGTCAAGAATATCACCCTGTGAATAAACCAATTTAATCAGCATAACGAGAATAAGTGCAACCCAGAAGTATTTATCGATATCAAGCTGCAGCATACCACTTTTGGTCTATCAATGAGTCCACATCTCATACTCTGGCGCAGACGCTTGCATTCTTCCTAACAAGTCATAAGAGATACGTGTGAACAGCTTGAACAGCAGACAATACTTTTCTTCCGATAAGTACAATTTCATTAAATGCATCAAGAAGGTGCTAATATGTACGAATAGAAGACAACCAGCTTTAAGATCATTGCCTTTTTTCCAAGGGGGACAGGTGAAAAATATTAAGAATATCACGAACAAGTATAGCATGGATGAAGCAATACCGTCAGTTTGGCAAATATTTTTTTCCCTTATGGGAGCCGGGGCCGGGGGGTCAAAAGGATACTTTTGTTGGATAACAAATCAAACCTGGAGTATCTAAACCCTTTGCTTTAGAATTCATGAGCATTAATCGTGTTCATACTCCAAAGCAACCCAAACACCAATGCAGTAGGCAAACTCTGGTTGAGCATAACCCCTTCCCTCTTGTTTCCACGTTTTCCTTTCTGGATACAAAACTCCTTCCCTCATCTTCAGTGTTTTCTTTTATGCGACGTCCGGTTTCCAGGGTTCTACTGAGAATGGAGAAGTGATTGCTCCCAACAAATGGTCTTTATGTGTTTAGATGATATAGGAAAATAGAAAAAGGCAGGGAAAACAATGGTTGATTCCAAGTACAGCATTGTCCATACAAAGCATGAGGAGAAAGGATTTTTTTTTTTTTTTT